TGTGCTGGGCTCTGGGAGGGCCTCCTACATAAATGTAAGTCAGGTACAGAGCAGAGACGGCACCTGCAGAATACTGAGCAGCTTTCAGGGAATACTGGAGGAGAAGAAACACGGCCTTTGTGGGGAACTGAGCTTTTAATATTCTACTTTTCTTTTTTACTCACAGTTGTAAAAGGAGTGACGCTGGTTTTTGATATTTAGGGCTGAACAATTAATCAAACTTGAATAGCGATGGAGGTTCAGTCATTTGTAATTGTCAGTGATCATCTCGGGTCTTTTTAATCAAGACGTTTACAGCCAGTCCTCAGTAAAAGTGTGTGGTTTGGAGCGCAGACTTTTTAGGAACAAATTTAGTTTTGTGCTGAATTAATAATAATAAAGTTCAATATTACACAAAATGGATTCTTACGAGCTTTAAGAATCATTCGTTCATTATTTTTTCTAAATAAAAACGAAAATAAGAAGGAACAACTGTTTTCTTCAACTGTTTTATTGTCTCCAAAAGCAAAATGAAAAAATGAATAACGTTTTCGATTTTGTGTTTAAATGAAGAATGGAAAAAAACAGATTACGGCCGTTTTCCTGGATGCTGGACTTTTGTCATACAGACTGAACCAGGACTGAATCAGGACTAAAACAAGACTAAACTAGGACTAAACCGTTTTCAGTCCTGGTCTGGTCCCAGTCTCAGTCCTGGTCTGGTCCCTGTCTTGGTCCTGGTCTGGTCCCGGTCTCGGTCTCGGTCCTGGTCTGGTCCCGGTCTCAGTCTCGCTCCTGGTCTGGTCCCGGTCTCGGTCCCGGTCTCGGTCCCGGTCTCGGTCCCGGTCTTGGTCCTGGTTCCCGTCTCGGTCTGGGTCTGGTCTTAGTCCCGGTCTGGTCCCAGTCCCGGTCTCGGTCCCAGTCTGGTCCCGGTCTCAGTTCCGGTCTCAGTCCTGGTCTCAGTCCTGGTCTCAGTCCCAATCTGGTCCCGGTCTCAGTCCCGGTCTCAGTTCTAGTCCTGGTCCCAGTCTCGGTCCCAGTCTGGTCCTGGTCTCAGTCCCGGTCTCAGTCCCGGTCTCAGTCCCAAGGTCTCAGTCCGGTCTCAGTCCTGGTCCTGTTCCCGGTCTCAATCCTGGTCTCACTTCTGGTCTGATCTCGGTCTCAGTCCCGGTCTCAGTCCCGGTCTCAGTCCCAATCTGATCCCCGTCTTGGTCCGGGTCTGATCTTAGTCCCGATCTGGTCCCGGTCCCGGTCTCAGTCCCGGTCTCAGTCCCGGTCTCAGTCCTGTCTCAGTCCTGGTCTCAGTCCCAATCTGGTCCCGGTCTCAGTCCCTGTCTCAGTTCTAGTCCTGGTCCCAGTCTCGGTCCCAGTATGGTCCTGGTCTCAGTCCTGGTCTCAGTCCTGGTCTCAGTCCCGGTCTCAGTCCTGGTCTCAGTCCTGGTCTGGTCCCGGACCTGGTTTAGTCCTGGTTTAGTCCTGGTTTAGTCCTGGTTTAGTCCTGGTCAGTCCTGGTTCCCTGGTTTAGTCCTGGTTTAGTCCTGGTTCAGTCCTGGTTTAGTCCTGGTTCAGTCCTGGTTCAGTCCTGTTCAGTCTTGGTTCAGTCCTGGTTAGTCCTGGTTCAGTCCTGGTTCAGTCCTGGTTCAGTCCTGGTTTAGTCCTGGTTTAGTCAGTCCTGGTTAGTCCTGGTTTAGTCCTGGTTCAGTCCTGGTTCAGTCCTGGTTCAGTCCTGGTTTAGTCCTGGTTCAGTCCTGGTTTAGTCCTGGTTTAGTCCTGGTTTAGTCCTGGTTCAGTCCTGGTTCAGTCCTGGTTTAGTCCTGGTTTAGTCCTGGTTCAGTCCTGGTTCAGTCCTGGTTCAGTCCGTCATCACAGTTTAAGTCAGGGAAACGGGAAACGGCCGTTATCTGTTTTTTCCATTATTCATTTAAACACAAAATCAAAAACTGAAAAAAGAATCGTTATCTGTTTTTTTCATTTTGGTTTTGGAGACAAATAATGAAGAAAAGATTTTTTTTTTTGTGTGTTTTGTTATTTTTGGTTTTATTTTGAAAAACAAATGAACAAATGATACCCGTATTGTTAAGCCACGTTATAATGTTGTTACCTCCTAAAAACATTCCTTATCATCCTAAACGTGCAGGGTTTGTGCGTTAAACATGTGTGAGTGAAACAAAACCCAACTCCAGGTCAGGAGGAAACAACATTATATCATAGATCGGAAACATGAGCGTCACACGAGCCCTTTCATTCCGACTCAGCATCCTTCTCTCTCCCGCTGGCTCCCTGCCAACTAGAACGCCCAATCAACCGCAATTTGCATCTCGTGTTTATTTTTAACATCTTTTTAGGAACAGTTTGAGCCTCTGCCGGAGATAAACAAAACTCCACTCCCCAGAGATCATCTTCAGACTCTTCTCTAAGTCTCAATTTCCTTTTGACGTTTTCGCTGGAGTGGACAGATTCACACGAAGTCTTGATCAAAGCTCGTCTCCTGTGATCAATGCTATATAGAGATAAATATAGTAATGAAGTACACGTAGCAAAGTACTTTACAGATACCGGAGCAAAAAAATACTCTAGTAACAGTATTAAAGTACATGTTTAAAAATGTAGTATTTCACACAGATTTAGATCTAATCAAACTTCAAATGCAGTGATTCTGATAAAGATTTATGCTGAATTTTTGTTCAGTAAAAATAACTGAATTCATTTTTTTTGTTTGTATTTTTTGTTTGCTCAATCTTATCAAGCCTTTTCAGCAGGTCTCAAACAGTAATAACAAATACTTTTACTTTTCAGTCCTGTTCAAAAATGTAATTGAATAGAAAGTACAGATACCTGCTCTCAGATGTAGTGAAGTAAAAGTAAAAAGTATCCATTATATATATAAAATATAACTAAGTAAAGTTCAGATACATATAATTGTTACTTAAAGGTGCACTGTGTAACTTTTCTAGTGGAGAGTCCCACATCTGCTTGTCTCCATGCCTCTGATGGCTTTGCTTTGTCTGCGATGTTCCACAGTATGGCATTAATCAAATACTGTAAAACTTGTATTTATTAAATTACGGTTATTTTTATTTCTTTAAACTAAACCGCAAAAAACATGCATTATTTCTATGAGCAGGTCGACTTCTCCACAGATCTGACCTGTGATGTGGCCTGCTTGTCGCCATGGAGATAGTTAAATTAAATACCATATTGTAGAACATTTTAGGAAAAAAAAAAAAACATCAAGCAGGTGACGGACCGCCCACCAAAACACACAGTGCACCTTAAAGTATAAATGACTTTAATAACTTTAAGTAAAAACTGTATCTGTACTTAAATATATTTTACAGTGAACACTTTTTACTTTTACTTCACTACATTTGAGAGCAGATATCTTTGTAATCCATTACAGACTGGAAAAAAAGTACTTTTCAGGGGTTATTTTACCATGTTTGTGGTGACATCCTGAAGTTTTTGAGTTCAGCTTTGAGTAAATAAACAAAAGTATTTTGTATCATAGACCTGCTAAAAACACTTCATTAATTAAAATACGAAAAGAAAAAGGAAAAAAAATTACAAATCTTTACCAACTTATCTGTTTTGGAAGGTTTATTACATCTCAAAATCAGCATGAAATACTTAAATAGATTTTTCACATTATACTTTCTACTTTTTTTTCTCCAGTATTTGTACTTTTACTTAAGTATGGACATAGTTCTTCATAGTACTTCTTCCAGCGTCGGTATACAGTTACACAGTCAGTATGTAATGTGAGACTGTGTGAGGAAGAGCCCAGAGGGATGGACGTCGAGTTTCCTGTTCAGATATAAACTCCCAGTAAAGTACCAGCTCAGAAAAGAAAAGAGGATTTAAAGGTGCACTGTGGAACCTTTGTGCTGGAGGTTAACCATGCACCACCTGTTTCCATGGAGATGTTTGCTTTGTCCTGGATTTGTCCAATTTGCGAACCACTCTCGATTGCTCTACAGTGAACACTTGCTGGTTTGATCCTTACTGCCTCCTCCCTCTCCTCTTTCCTTGCTTCCTTTCCTCTTTCCTCGCTTCTTTACTTCCTTCCTTCCTTCCTTCCTTGCTTTCTCTCCTCCTCCTCACCCCACCTTCCTTTCCTCCTTCCTTGCTTTCTTCCATCTCTCCTTTCCTCCTTTTCCTCCTCCCTCTCCTCCTTCCTTGATTTTTGGCTTCCTTTTCTTTCTTCCTTAATTACTGCCTTTCCTACTCCCTCTCCTCCTTCTTTTCTTGCATCCTCCCCTCCTCCCTCTGCTCCTTCCTTGCTTCTTTACTTCCTTCCTTCCTTGCTTTCTCTCCTCCTCCTCCTCCTACCCCGCCTTCCTTTCCTCCTCCTACTCCTGCTTCCCTGCTTCCTTACTTCCTTTTCTTCCTTGCTTCATTGCTCCCTCTCCTCCTTCCTTGTTTTGTGACTTCCCTTCCTTCCTTCCTTCCTTCCTTCCTTCCTTTCCTCCTCCCTCTCCTCCTTCCTTGCATCCTTCCATCCGTCCTTTCCTCCTTCTTCTCCTCCTTCCTTGATTCCTTATTTCTTTGCTTCCTTTCCTTCTCTTTCTCCTGCTTCCTTGCTTCCTTACTTCCTTTTCTTCCTTGCTTTATTTCTCCCTTTATTTTCATCCTTGCCTGCATCCTCTCCTCCTCCCTCTGCTCCTTCCTTGCTTTCTCTCCTCCTCCTCACCCCGCCTTCCTTTCCTCCTCCCTGTCCTCCTTCCTTGTGTCCTTCCATCCGTCCTTTCCTCCTTCTTCTCCTCCTTCCGTGATTCACTATTCTACTTCTCCTGCTTCCTTACTTCCTTTTCTTCCTTGCTTCATTGCTCCCTCTCCTCCTTTCTTGGTTTCTGGCTTCCTTTCCTTCCTTATTGCCTTACCTCCTCCCTCTGCCCCTTCCTCGCTCCCTCTCCTCGTCCTCTTTCCTGTCTCTCCATCTCGCTGTCATGTGCCATGTGTTGAGATGACTTCATTCACACACCTCTGTCTCTGTGTGTGTGTGTGTGTTTCTGGTGTTTCAGGATCACCACCACAGCAGCCTGCATGATGGATCTGAGACGTTACCCTCTGGACGAGCAGAACTGCACCCTGGAGATCGAGAGCTGTGAGTAGAAAGCACCAGGAAAAATGAAATGAAATTAAATAAATAAAACACAAATTATACAAAAAAACATCTTTGTGAGTGAGCGGTTGAGATTTAGAAAGCGTTTTTATGTGTTAGTGGAGGCTACGATTTCAGAGCTGGCAGGATTAAGAAAAAAATTACCAGATGCTTTGAGATGCTTTTGGAGTCCATATCAAACACTGCACGAAGGAGGAGTAACAATAAACCAGAAGCTCAAAAGGGAACGTGACGTGCATTCATTTTTTAATTTTTTGGTACCATTATTAGTCCTCAAAAGGAGTAGGATGAAGTTTAGAAAGCTTATCAAGTCCTACCCACATTTATTTTGTATTATTTCATTAAAAAATAAAGTGGAATTAGGGTTTAAAATACAATAAAATAAAATAATCTCTATGTGTTTGCAAATAAACTTAGGCTTGGTTTTAAAATTCAGAAGATTCAGTTTGAAAAGTGCTGTGATTTCATTTGCATAACTTTTTTTATAACTATTTGCATAACTTTATTTATTACTTTATTTACTTTTAATTATAATCACTTTATTTATAACATTTAAAACAGCTTATGACACAAAAACAATTGAGGTCAGGGGATGGAACAAATAACTAATATCAAAATCACATTTGTTACATCTGAATCACCGAGTACTCTCACTGTTAGTAAAATCCAGATACTTTTCCCAGTGTCTTTTTTCCCAAATGTGCAGTCTCATTTTCAAGAGGGACCAGCTGACCATAAAACTATGTACATTTCCACAAAACGCAATTAAACAGTAAGATTAAATTATTAAATTACAATATACAGTCTATATTCTAATAATTGGAGATGGTCTGTGTACAACATGATAACTGTGTACTTTCTTTGTGCCTGGTGGGATATAGAAATTTGAATAATTATCCATATAAATCTATAAATAGACTTAAACACATACATAAACACACAGAACTGTCTGGGACCATCTGGTGGAGGTTGAACACCTGAATGATCCAACTGCACATACAACACACAAACGGTGGTGTTGGCATTGAATTTATAATTAATTGTTGCAGTATGCTTTATTATATATTTGTTTTTAGCCATATTTAAAGTCGCAATATGGAACTTTTCTGATGGAGGAGCTGCTTGTCTCCATAGAGAAATTAGTACATTGGCGGGAATATGCAACTGTACGGTATTAAAGATGTATATCTCCATAGACATAAGTTATTTGTAAGTAAAACACCTTTATCTTTAGTAAGTGTAATGCCATACTGTGGAACATTCCAGGCAAAACTATGCAATCTCCGTGACGACAAGTGATGGACTGTCCATCAGGGAATTTATAAAGCTCTTTAAACATCTTATTTTTGGCATTTGTCAGATCCAAATTTGCATCAAAATTCATTCTGATAAACGCGGACACCCTACATATAATCTGCTTTCTGTTTTTATTATTCTTTAAATATGTTAATTTTAAGTTAAATATGAGCCCAACGTTTGTGTGAACACCATATTTAACTGCTAAAAAGCTTGAGCAAATAGATGGAGAAATATCGAAGCCAAATTATTTCAATGTAATATTTCAAGTGTTTTTATAAAAATACATGTTAAATATATAATATATAATATATATAATGTTAAATAAAATGTTTGTGAACTCTACTTAACTTAAATGAAGGTGACTGACACAAATTTGGCAAATGAGGAATATCAGCTATTCTTTAAAGGCAATATGATCATTTTAACATTCTTAGATCATATTATAAACCTAGAATTATCCTTTTTGGTGATTATAATATAGATTTACCATGCACTACGTACTTTTAGTAGTGGCTAATTTAAAGATGTCCATATAATTAACATAATGGACAGCAGCAAAACTTCTCTGCTGCTAATTTAGTCCTTTTTAATCAATTTCTCGTTCTCACCTCTCACTCTGGGGAAATAAGATGCTTGTTTTTGTGTCAGTTTGTGATTCGCCCCCTGCTGTTTGCGGACGGAAACTCACGTCAACACATTTCATTAAACAAGTCCGCTGTGGGGTGTTCATTTGTTAGAAGGATGTCTTTACAATCTACATCAGTGTCATTGTTTTTGCTTACTGTTGTAATTTATGACATTATAGCGAAAATACAGCTCTACTCAAAGGCTGATTTACACCTATAGTCCCCGGGGAAATAAAGAGATCCGTTGGGTTGATGTCTGTGTTGGTTTTGTTAAATTAAAGTCTCTTCAAGGCACTTTTTTCAAGTTTAAAGGTCTTATATTACATTAAACTGACTCTTGTGAGCTTTAAGCCATGTTATAATGTTGTTACCTCCTCAAAAACAAACCTGGAGTTGTGTTTAGTCTCATTCACATGTGTCTGTATGCATCTCCAAAGCTCAAAATGCTCTCTTCCACCTTGTGATGTCATGAAGTGGTAGCTACCTTTTACATTTTGTTCAGTATTAACTTTATAGACAGTATCAACTTTATAGAGGATGTACTATCTGTATTATCAGTTATTTAATGTGCTTATATGACAGGTTAGTCGTTGTTGAGTAATTTAAGATTTGAAAAATAAAAAAAGTTGCCTAATTTTTCTTAAAGATTGAAAATAATAAATAGTTCATAATAATTTATCATTTTACTGGTTATGACTTTTTAAATCTGCTATATAATGCAAAACTTCACACCATGTTATAATGTTGTTACCTCCTCAAAAACATGCCTGGAGTTGTTTTTGTTTCATTCACACCTTTATTATTATTATTATTAAGGTGTACGTCTCCACCTTGTGATGTCATGAAGTGGTAGTTTTCAAGTTAATAGCTACCTTCTAACTTTAGTTCAGTAGAGATTGCCAATTCCAGGTCTGAAATCATCCAAATGATTCTAGTGAAAGTCTATGAAGTTTAAAAACACAGTGAAGCACTTCCTGTATTATCTCATGACATCACAAGGTGGAACAGAGTGTTCTCCATTTGAGAGAAGAACAAAACACAACTCCAGGTATGTCTGTGATGAAGAAGACCCTTTTAAATAATTGTTTAATTTGTAATCTGTGCAAAAAAATACATGATTGGCAAGTGAATCTACATTGTAATCAAATTTTTTCTTATTTATTTATTTAGAAATTATAATACCAAAATGTTGTTATCCTCAATTCAAACTTCAGACATGTTTCTGCCTGGCCACACTCCCCCTCGCTCCAGCTGTCCTTTATAACTCTGCATAAATCAGACAAGTCCCCACAACTCTCACACAGATGGGCCCAAAGTATCTGTATATATGATGTATAATGTGAATATATGTGTTTATCTGTCTGTCCGTCTGTCTGTATAATGTGAATCTATGTGTTTGTGTTTGTGTATTATAGATGGGTACACCACCGACGACATCGAGTTTTACTGGAAAGGAGGAGAGGAAGCTGTTACCGGGGTGACCAGGATCGAACTTCCGCAGTTTTCCATCGTCGACTACAAACTTGTGTCCAGGAATGTTGTCTTTTCCACAGGTAAGTCCAGATAATATTTGTGTGTAGAGATTTTCCAAATACACAAGTATGTTTAATAGTTGAGGATAAACAGAAAACAAAAGATGCAGACAGAATTATGGTTATAACATAAGTTTCTCTAACAATCCCAAGCAAAAGTATTACATTTTATATTTTAGTTCATCTCTTGTATTTATACTACAAAGTTTGCTACATTGGTAAAACTACTACTACTATACAATATCTACGTGCTACTATTACTGCTACTACTACTGCTACTATTGTACTGCTACTGCTACTGCTACTGCTACTGCTACTGCTACTACTACTACTACTACTACTACTACTACTACTACTACTACTACTTTAAATTTATTCATGTAAAGCACTGTAATCTCTGAAAAGCTCTATACAATATCTACTTACTACTATTACTGCTACTACTACTTTTAGTATTGTACTGTTACTGCTACTACTACTACTACTACTACTACTACTACTACTACTACTACTACTACTACTACTACTACTACTACTACTACTTAATTTATTCATGTAAAGCACTGTAATCTCTGACAAGTGCTATACAGTATCTACTTACTACTATTACTGCTACTACTACTGCTATTTGCTTACTACAATACTACCTACTAGTACTACTGTTTCAGGGTTTTATACTTCAGTTGCTACTACTAGTACTATTACTACTAAACATCCTAAAAGCTTCTCTACTTAATTTAATATTTTCACTTCTAATCAAATCCAAAATTCAGCAGGAAGTCTGGATCATGTTTAAAGCAGTTTTTAAATTTGTGCTAGATTTTTGTTTTATGTAGATGGTCTCAGTGAAGATATTAACAATGAAGTCCCTTTTTCTTACAATTTAAAAGGAAATTCTTACTTGTATTCATTTTCATATTTTCAGCTACATGCTTTTTTTTCTTCTTATTCATTTTTAGAAAAAGCCCAGTACCCACAATTTTCACTAATAACCAAACCAAAGCTTAGAGATTTTGTCATTAAACATCTATATTGCATTTATTCATTAGCGTGCTTCTGTTGTTCAAAAATACATGAAGTTTAAGTTTAATGCTACACCATGGAACATTCTAAACAAAGAAGTATATTTGTTTATTTATTTATTTTACAAAAAAGGTATATAAACATTTAGAATAGTTTGTGCAAGTCTTGTAAAAAGGGAACTCCCCAGAAGCTACTTGAGCTTATAAAAGAGGCCCCAGATAACATCTCCATGGAGACAAACAAGTGGTGGGCTGACCAGTAGAAAAGTTACACAGTATTATAAAGTATGTGTATGTAGCATTGGATTGCCTATCTTCTCCCCTCCTCTGTTGTGTCTCTACAAACAGAATTTCATGGGAAACGCTGTTAAATGTTTCATGATATTGTTCGAATCAAAGCCTGGCCTGTTTTCAATCTGATTATTTCATCAATGTCTGTGGTGGAAAACACGATCCAGGGCGTGCGGCGCTGATCTGAAGAGCCAAAGTTCTGCTCATCAGCGCAGCTAATTAGTCTGAAGCTGGAAAACACGAGCGGTCTTTGAAGTATCCCTCAAGATATATGCCCAGAGTGAAGCCAGTGCTCCAGCTAAACACACGCAGAAGCCATGTTAGATATAAGAGCCAGAGATGATCACATGTTTACAGCTTCTACACAGCTAAAGCACCAGTGTATTTCTGTAAAAAAAAAAAAAAAAAAAAAAAACAGTAAAGAAATATATAGGAAAAAAGTCAAATTGTATATTTCAATTTGCAAAATTTGCTACTATGACAACTACTACAACTACAGTTGCTTCAACATGTCATGTTATTCATGTTATTCATCAGTGTCTACTGCTACCACTAAACAAACCAAAACAATTACAATTTAAAGGGAAATTCATTGGACTCCATTTCATTTTTTCAACTATATGCCAGAAAGGATTTTTCTCATAGAGCACAGTGTCATCACAAACTGCTTGTGTTCGGCTGACAGGGACCTACATTTTTCAAAAAGGTTGGATTTTGTAGCGATTTTGTCCTATTTTTAGATCATAAACTTCTTCTCAGCTCAAAATCCTTCAGTTGTCTTAAAAACAGCTTTTTAATCATTAGCTCTGGCTCCGCTCTGCTGTGCTCGAGCTACTCGCTCTCTGATTGGTCAAAGTGCTCATGTGATATACGAGACAGCGCTCCTTGCGCTCGCTCGTGTGCATTGGCGTGTGCCTGCGAGAGAAAAGAGCATTACTGCCATAAACCATATCTATGAATGACATAGCTAACGTGCTAGCAGCCACATGCCAAACAGGAAGTGCACCAGGAGGCTCTTCCTGCTTCTTCTCACCCTGACTCCAATTGACTTACATTGGCATTTTGTGGCTCCTCTCTCTGTAACTGCTGCTGTGAGCCTTGTTATTTTGGTCTTAAAATGTTTGTATTAACCCACGCTACATGTTTTTACATTTTGCTAGTTTGTCCCTAAATCAAGGTATGAACATAAATGGACCAATCAGACGCCTTCATTTCCCAACGTCGCTCCCACTGGCGTTAGCAACAGGTTTGATTGACAGCAAGTGCGTTTTGTTGCTAAGTAAGCCCCTTCCTGCTTTCCGGTGAGAGCTGCGGGCATATTTAACAACCTCAATCATGATTGGCTCTTGCTATAATACTCGCGGTTGGATTTCTACATATGGAGTCTGGCTCCAGATTGGCTCCTGTAACCGTTAGCATCGGGAGCTTCATTTGAGTGGAGCTGAACGCTGTGGGTGACGTCACACTCGCTTAAATCCAGGTCTTTATACACTCTATGACTACTACACATGTTCAGTAGGCAGAGAACCACCCGATGTACTTAGCCGGGCTAGGCCAATCTGGACACCTGCACCACTGAGCTCGGCCCATTGACTTGAATCGGCGGCCATGTTTAGACCCGGGGTTTGTGTTAGACCTAGAGATGCTAACGTTTGTTTACGGCTAGCTTCTTTTGAGGGCACCAACGTCAAGCTAAAAGTAGCACAAGGCAGCTCAATAAATCAATGCGATCAAATAAGGGAGAATTGGCGCTGTAATCTCACGTTTATTTGCATACGAACTCAAGAGGTTTCACTCGATCAATATGCGGATTAAAGGGCTGTTAGTTAGTTTATTGATAAAATGGAATTCTGAGTGATTAAGTTAATGCATTATAGAATACACCGTGTATTGTCCAAATGATGTGGTAGATTTAAAATATGATTCATGTTATTGATGATTTTTTCAACATTTTAGCAGTATTCTTAGCCTTGTACCAAGTATATATTTCCCATTTGCTTTGCGGTTTATTTTTATCATAAAACTAAGTAATTTAACTGACAACACTGAACTAGAATTATAAAGATTTCATATTCTTGACTATGACAATTGCATACAAATTGGAAGTATTATTTGTCTAGTAGTAGCAGTATTAGTAGTAGAGGAGCAAGAGTTTTTTTTATTTTTTTTTACTACTACTATTACTACTTTTTTCAGTTTATTTTCATGTGCGTGTCAAGTTCTGCTACTACTATTACTACTACTACTACTATGTTATTTTCTTGTTTCTGTCAAGTTCTATGACTACTACTACTTGAACTTGATGCACACAATAAAATAACATAAATTAGTAGTAGTAATAGTACTGGAAGTAGTACAAGTACTTTGGGACCTCCTTCCTCGTATTACAATTATATTAATATTAGGACAATGCAGTTTTCAGTCACATGACATACATAATGTCACCACAGGGACCACTTTATGTAACAAATGGACTGTATTAAGAGACGCTATGTTTATTTTAAATGAATGTCATCTTTAATAGGACATGTTCCACCCATAGTTCATATTCTGTTGCATAATATGATTTCCCAGATGTTAAATTAATATATTAACCATCACATAAGTGTTCCTATAGGAGCAGAGAGGAAGCCCCATGATTCTCCTGTGTCATTAAGTGCTGTTGTGAAACGCATCAATCACTGTTATATATATATCCCCACAATGACAGTCTTATACCAGGTCTGTATCTGAGCACGGACACTAATCCTAATGGACCTCAAGGCAATTCATGCAGAGACATACAGCACAGCATGTATTTGCAATTTGATTTTAATTAATTTGTTGCCGTGGAAATGTAAATCGAGGTCTGATTTCCCACTTGCGTCTTTAAATGTTTGTGGATGACATGATGCAGTCGATTAGAGAGGAGTTTCACGTGTGTGCTAAGTGTAGTGTTTCATGTATGTATGAGGGAACAGAAGGACTCAGTTTAGGCGTGTTTAAAGTATATAATATGCACTAGGGATGTAACAATATCGTATCCTCAAAAGTCTCACAATAATACCATGAGCTGTCACAATATATCAATTTACAAAATCCTTTGCTTAAATGCATTGTTTTATAGTACCAATATCTTATAAACATCGGCAACTACATATCCCATGATTCATTTCAGCGCAGACAACATGAAAAAATATGTTTTTACTTGAATTCTTGGGATTATGATGGTAATAATTCACATCAAAATCTTGTCAGGGTATTTTAAAAGCAAAAAAAAAGTGTTGTATCTACAATTATATCAGCCTCTCCAAACTATATCAATAAATATTGTGACAATATCGTAATATTGTGATAATATCGTACCGAGACATTGTGAGATATGCACCAGTTATTGTCTAATTTTGATCTGAACAAGACTTAACCTTAATAAGAAGCCATATTAAGTCCAGGTTCAAATCAAGTCCAAAATAGGTCTACACCAGGACCAAAATAAGTCAAAATCAGGACTAAACCAAGACAAATTTAAAATGGGGTGACTTAATGAGGATGACACTCAATTTAAACTCAACTCAGTATAAAATTAAATTAATTTAATACTAATCAGGTATTGAACTATTAATAAATGCTGCAGATTTAAAGACCTCCTGATCAAAGCCTGATCTCTTCAGATCTCAGAAGCTAAGAAAGGCCGGGCTTGGTTAGTACTTGGATGGGAGACCACTGGGA